TAGAGAAATGTCTGTATTAGAGAGGTGTCTGTATTAGAGATATGTCTGTATTAGAGAGATGTCTGTATTAGAGAGGTGTCTGTATTAGAGAGATGTCTGTATTAGAGAGATGTCTGTATTAGAGAGGTGTCTGTATTAGAGAGGTGTCTGTATTAGAGAGGTGTCTGTATTAGAGAGATGTCTGTTTTAGAGAGATGTCTATATTAGAGAGATGTCTGTATTAGAGAGATGTCTGTATTAGAGAGGTGTCTGTAGTAGAGAGATGTATGTAGTAGAGAGATGTCTGTATTAGAGAGGCATATATCAGAGAGGTGTATGTATTAGAGAGATGTCAGTATTAGAGAGGTGTCTGTTACGGACACCTCTCTAATACAGACACCGCTCTAATACAGACACCTCTCTAATACAGACACCTCTCTAATACAGACATCTCTCTAATACAGACACCTCTCTAATACAGACATCTCTCTAATACAGACATCTCTCTAATACAGAAGTGTCTGTTGTTTTAGTATAAATTATATACTGTATGTTTATATTGCTTACCTATTTGTAAGCTGATTGCCTATTTGTTCACGGTATATATTAACTTGTGCAATAAATATTACTAATATCAAATGTTGTGCATATATAAGCCCACCCGTATATAAGCCATGCAAAATGCATATATGAACAAATATAAAACCAGTGCTTATATTCGGACGTTTATATGGTATATTGATGCCAGTTAGCATAAATATACTAGCTGATATTTGATATTTGCTGCCAGCGGATTTTGCAATACCACCGGTTCTCATTAGCAATGAAAGCTGGTTTGTAGGAATGCACATTGTCTATCATTGTGCAAACTTCATAATTCACCTCAGCACTTCAGAATTACCAAAGCAAATGATAAAACCCCAACTTTGGCAAGGCAAAAATAGGCCAAATACAAGTGCTGTTTTAACATATTTCATACTTTTCACATATTTCATACTTTCCAATGAATACAAATACACATGAAATATTCACTCTTGCTAACACAAGCGAACTAACTTCAAATATTTCATAACGTGGACCAACTTTCAAAAATGTTCACATATTTATTAAGAGCAAGCAAATTAAAAGTTGCATCACTCGCTTCTAAATATTTGCTAGCAAGTACAAGACTACTCCATGTAATGAAAGGAATGAACATTATTTTCTCACTCTGATAACTGCAGGTTGACCAGCATCTGCTGCGCGATACTGCTTTGTAGTGAAAGCCATTTTGACATACCTTGTTGTTTAGAATGTACGAAATTGTCCCTCCATAGTCTGTGATTCTCCGACGAATTTCTTGCTTTCTTTTATAAGGAAAGTGTTTGGAAGTAAGGTCTACAGTAAACTGGCAGTCTTTGAGAAACAATACCATGATAAACTGGCTAAAAACATCGAAACTTTCGAGTTTCAATGCTGCAACTTGCAGAACTATAAAAAATTTCAATACTTCAATATAAAAATGACGTCATTTCACTTCCGTCTTCCGGTTGAAAAACCGAGGTTAATGTTATTTTAGAGCCGATGACAGAGCTGCATAATAGTATTGCATGACCCGTGTTCAACTTTATTTAAACTGGGTAGCTCTATCAGTTCTTGCTAGTAAAGATCCAGTAAGGATAATCACTTATTGATCAAGTGTTACTGCAGGAGGAAACCTAAACTAAACTAACTTTATTTATACTGGATAGCTCTATCAGTTCTAAACTCTTCTTCCTAGAGGTGCAGTAAGGATCATCACTTATTGATCCAGTGTTACTACAGGAGGAAACCTAAACTAACTTTATTTAGCTGGATAGCTCTATCAGTTCTAAACTGTTCTTCCTAGAGGTCCAGTAAGGATCATCTCTTATTGATCCAGTGCTACTACAGGAGGAAACCTAAACTAACTTTATTTATACTGGATAGCTCTATCAGTTCTAAACTGTTCTTCCCAAGAGGTCCAGTAAGGATCATCTCTTATTGATCCAGTGTTACAACAGGAGGAAACCTAAACTAAATTTATTTATACTGGATAGCTCTATCAGTTCTAAACTGTTCTTCCTAGAGGTCCAGTAAGGATAATTTCTTATTGATCCAGTGTTACTACGGGAGGAAACCTAAACTAACTTTATTTATACTGGATAGTTCTATCAGTTCCAAACTGTTCTCCCTAAAGGTCCAGAAAGGCGGATGTCAAAGAATAAACAATCATTCTTGTCAGGAGATGAACTACATTTTAGTTTGTGATCATTTTTTTTTTTAAATTACATTTTTTTAAGTTAACAGGCTGTCAAAGCCGACACACTATAGCATTCCGAGTTGAAGACGTTGCTTTATACTATTAAATTAAAAATAAGCAATTATTGGACGAGGCTGAGCATGATATCAAGAATTGTTCAGACCGACGTCAATGTTATCTGCCGAAGCGAAGCTGAGGCGGATAACATAGACCGAGGTCTGAATAATTCTTGATATCATGCGAAAGCCGAATCCAATAATTGTTTTATTATACATTTTATAAAGACATGAGAAACGTATAAAACGATTCCTGTTCATGAGGTAGGAAAAGTAGCCGGTGCTTTTCCTTAAAGTACAATTTGAATATCAAACACCTTGCACTCAAAGGTCAGCTAAATATTCTATTTCTACTTCTATTTACCTCTTGTGTGGCTTTTTTCGTGCTTTCACTATCCTTATCTGCCAATAATTTGGACTTTCATTCAGCGAAGCAAATCTGCTGTAGGCCATTGTTCGTTTGTTTGTTTTTTCGCGCGCTCAAGCTTTTGGCCGCGCAAGGGCTTGAGCACGAGAGAGTCCAATAATTTTTTTTTTGGATGCAAGTATTATTATTGGACACTGATGACATCATCGGCGGGAAATAGGTAATAATGCCGAATACTGAAAATTAGCCGGTGCTTTCTGACCAATTAGGAACGAGAATACATATTAAATGTATAATAATGTATATTGTTCGCCCAAAAAATATTTAGATAGTTTTTAGATATTTAGATATTTAGATATAGGAGATCCTTAACAGGCTTACTTTAACTATCTAGAGTCCGAGGTTCTCATGTCCATCATGTTTAAGAATGTACGTTATGGCGTTCTTTCCAACATCTCTTCATCATTAATTGCATCATTAATTGCGGTTGTTTGTTCCATTCGTCTTGATGGTTGCAATTTCTTTGCCTTCAATCGTAGTCTTTCATCAGACAAGACTGCGTTTCTTGATTTGTGTCTGAACTACCTGAAAAGGACATCTCAAACGTGCATGGTGGGTCCAGTGTAGGTAGTATCTTCAATGAGCTGTCGTGGTTTGTGTCTGAGCTACCTGAAAAAGATATCTTAAACGTGGTGGTTCAGTGCAGGTAGTATTCTACAACTAGCTGCCGTGGTTTATGTCTGAACTACCTGAAAAAGATATCTGAAACGTGGTGGTTCAGTGAAGGTAGTATTCTTCAATAAGCTGTCGTGGTGTGCGTCTGAACTACCTGAAAAAGATCTCAAACGAGGTGGTCCAGTGTAGGTAGTATTCTACAATAAGCTGTCGTGTCGTGGTTTGTGTCTGAACTACCTAAAAAAGATATATCACAAATGAGAAGCTCCATTGTTCTTGTTTCTTGGAAGGAAACTTCCATGATTGAAAAACAATCAAGACAGAGAGTTAAGATTAAGCACTGTTTCGCCCGATGTCAGGGCTCATCAGCATGCCTAGGAATCAAACTACCACAATTTCTACATTATGGCAAATATTTGATTCCGGACATGAACAGTGAGCAGACTGGTTTTCAGGCGCCAATCATTCGCCTTTCCACAACACACCTTTCCAAACAGGAGTTTGGTTAGACACGGGAGACTATATGGGACATTTCAAGAATGTACAGGTGCTCAATTCTGTACATCATCCCAGTCAGTTCTAACCCTTTACCCCCCTAAACCTAACCTAAACCTACTTAAGTCCTAACCTAAACCCTTATCGAAATCCCAATTATAACCAGTTACAAAGTTTTCTACGTTTATGATTAACAGAAATGATTGAATTAAAAAGTTCGTCAATATATACAAATAATCAACTGAAGTGTTTTAATAAAGAAAGTCTTCTGCAGCAAAAGTTTAAAAAGAGGCACCCAATTCTAGTAGCATGTCTTTGAAGGCAATTTATGTAGAGTGCATGAATAAATTCATACAAGAAGTTTCATACATATTAAGTTCTTGTCAGGCAGCAATAAAATGTTAAATTAAACAAGTATAAAACTGTTAGTCCCAGAGGGACGATGTTCGCAATTGTTCCTGGTTAGATCCAATAAATGTATAAATTCACATTCGAATGTCCATCTGCAACCTCTTGAAGTTCTTGAAAGAGTATTTATCAAGTGAGGTGTCAATGTCTTCCAGGATCAAACTGATTCTTTAAACTGTGCACTCTTGGTATAGGTTGTTGATAGTAGCTAGTAATGACGGTTCCCTTGGGCAGGAAGTATTGCATACTTCTTTGCGAAAGTATGGGATTTAAATACAAACACAACAATAATTATGAATATAAAGATAAACAACGTACTGTTCAAAGAAGATTGAAATGGACGGTACAAAAAGCTAGTATGGAAATACTGCTTACAACATGCACCCTTTCAATGCAGTACGTTTACAAACATAGAAGACCAACATTAATTATGAAATATATTAATTAAAAGAATGTAATTTAAGTATAAAGATAAACAACGTACTGTTCAAAGAAGATTGAAATGGACGGTGCAAAAAGCTAGTATGGAAATACTGCTTACAACATGCACCTTTTCAATACAGTACGTTTACAAACATAGAAGACCAACATTAATTATGAAATATATTAATTAAAATAATGTAATTTAAGTATAAAGATAAACAACGGTACTGTTGAAAGAAGATTGAAATGGACGGTACAAAAAGCTAGTATGGAAATACTGCTTACAACATGCACCTTTTCAATACAGTACGTTTACAAAGATATCGAAGATCAACAATAATTATGAAATATATTAATAAAAAGAATGTAATTTAAGTATAAAGATAAACAACGTACTGTTGAAAGAAGATTGAAATGGACGGTGCAAAAAGCTAGTATGGAAATACTGCTTACAACATGCACCTTTTCAATACAGTACGTTTACAAACATAGAAGACCAACATTAATTATGAAATATATTAATTAAAAGAATGTAATTTAAGTATAAAGATAAACAACGTACTGTTGAAAGAAGATTGAAATGGACGGTGCAAAAAGCTAGTATGGAAATACTGCTTACAACATGCACCTTTTCAATACAGTACGTTTACAAAGATATCGAAGAGCAACAGTAATTATGAAATATATTAATAAAAAGAATGTAATTTAAGTATAAAGATAAACAACGTACTGTTGAAAGAAGATTGAAATGGACGGTACAAAAAGCTAGTATGGAAATACTGCTTACAACATGCACCTTTTCAATGCAGTACGTTTACAAAGATATCGAAGATCAACAATAATTATGAAATATATTAATAAAAAGAATGTAATTTAAGTATAAAGATAAACAACGTACTGTTGAAAGAAGATTGAAATGGACGGTACAAAAAGCTAGTATGGAAATACTGCTTACAACATGCACCTTTTCAATACAGTACGTTTACAAAGATATCGAAGAGCAACAGTAATTATAATATTTAAAAAGTTCATTGAAAATGAATATATATAAAAATTGATGACATGAAAGCCGACAACCTCTAGGTGATCACCTTCTGTTACGACAGACTGCGTGCTTCTATCTTTCAAGAACTAGGTAACAATTTAGCGCTTTTTTCAATAAACTAATTCGTCCAATGAAATTAGATTATTATTTATTATAAAAAATTCCTGGTTTCTGATTGGCTAACAGCCAACTGTGAAATTGTCATATCAACTCAATGGCTAACCTAATACGTATTTCACATTCATGACGTCAAAGAGTCAATATGAAAAAATTTGGACGCGTTTGCGCCATATTACTAGGACAACGAGAATCATATTGACTCGCTGACGCCATTTATGACGCAACGGCGACTGCCGAAGGACTAAGAAATTGTTGTTTTTTCTTAATACAAATAAAATACAAATATTTTGAATTTTTTAAATGAATAATAAAACAATTATTGAATTCGGTTTCGCACAATATGAAGTATTATCAAGCCCGAAGTTTGCTGTTATTCTCATTGAATAATTGTTAATTATTATTACACTTATATTTTTGGAAATGTTGCAGAATCCAATTGCATGAAATGCACCGTTCTTTGATGTTTTCTCACAACATATATTCATCGGCCACGTTTTCGGCAAATATCAAATGTGATTGAATACAAGTCATTTATAGTCATTTCGAAATTGAAAATACAGTAATCGTGTTTCCCTGTGACCACGTGATATGGATCGTCTGACATGCAACCAAGATTAATACGAATATTGCCAACGACATGTAAACATATGCAATGCCAAGCTTTCGTTGGTGGGGATGCAAACTACCTGAAAAATATAAGACGAAGGGCCGAAATTCTGCTTATATTTCATATATGAAGATTATTACTTTCATAATGAACTTTTTTGTAACCAATGAAATGATAAAATGAATAAAAAGTAATTAATAAACTATCATCTTATCGTTCATGCTTCATTAGTAAATAGAATGCCATGTAAACGAATATTGAAAATGTTCATTATTTGATCGACAATCTTTCCATTTACACATCGTATGGAATTTTCGCTAGAATGAAGAATTCCGGCAAATTGTCCTTGCGCTGGTGGACGATTCCACCGCAAATGAATATATAATATTTTATTTATTATCATAGTGTGAATATATATATATATAGTATTACCTGTATACGAGTAATGATTGTGTAAAATTTAATCTAATTGGTATCTATGGCATTTTACACTTTTACGTTTGCAGACTAAAAAGAGTTCCTGTCGACAGACTGTCTGGTTGGTGTAGTTCAGGATCATTTTATTGCCAGCCGGATACAAAGATTTAACTAATATTTTAATTGTGAACGGACGGCAACCGAAATTAATGCGAATATCGGCATGATTTTCAACAGACAATACCGAAAGCGAGCCGAACTTTTTCCGGAGGTTCACACTTGCACATGTGTCGTACGATTCTTTCGCTGAAACGGAGGAATCCAGCAAATCGTTTTCGCGCTGGTCATGCAACATATCAAGACCCCCAATTCCGAAATAACGTTCGTCAAAGCGATGACTGTCCACGACTATCTGAACGTCACGCTCACGAACGATGCTGATCGTGAGCAAATCCTTAAAAACCTTCCGAAGTTGAAACGAATCCCGTCAGATGATACCTGTCACTTGGTTAAGCAGATCAGCGACTTCGACCTGGATGTGATCGAAGTGTCGGATGGGTACGCGCATTCCGAATTTTTACAAGAACATTTTTCCAATTTCGAAAGGAAGACTTTTGTGGAAAGCTGGTTTTCGTTGGGTGCAAGGACTCTGGCAAGACTTCATACGGGTTGACCAACGGGCAGTTCTCAGCCAGTATGATACGTAAAGACACAGAATTAGTCATTGTCGATAAATCGTCATCTATGGCTCCAGCACTCGTCAAAACTCTGTTGGAAAATGTAGGATTCTGTAGGATTCGTGCAAAATCCAATATATTAAAGTAAGTTTTATAGCATTTTAAATATTTTGTGTTTATCATTTTAGCGTAGTGTGAACGTAGTCTAAATAATTATGAAATTAAAGTAAAAGATGTTGTGCATTTCTGCGTGGTATAATATTAAATTTTGTTTCTTGTTTCTTTTTCCAGTTAATCTAGCGCTAAGCAACCCAGTTTGTCGGCCAGAGCTGATTGACAAGGAAAGAGCACGCTCCTGTGAAGACTTCTTGGGCTGCCGTCTTCCATTGTATTATTCCATGTATTATTATATTAACCGACCGGTGGATCTATGTTCGTTTGTAATTAAGCATAAAGACACACGATCTTTTTACAACAACAGCCCGTTTTACATTACAACCAACCAGCTGCCCGACTTTGGTGAAGAAAACGAGAATGTTTACAGAAGAACTCAGTTTCCCAACCCAGATCCTTTAGTCACAATTACACCCAAAACCGACCGGTGGATCTATGTTCGTTTGTAATTAATATATATATAACACGTATTGTTTTTTGTTTATTATTATATTATGTTTTTGTCGGCAATGCATGCCGCGAGACAACATTTGGAAGCAGACGGTTTCAAGTGTGAAGTCCATAGCTTTGGTCAAGTCCCACCACCAATGCCACAGTTTACGAATGAAAGTGGCTTGACTGAAGCAATTCGCACGTTCAAGAGATTCCTGGAACTGCTTAACAATGACCAATGATAATAATTAATGTATATAGCACGTTTTATTTTATTGTTAATTATTATATTATGTTTTTGTCTATGAATATACTATTATACGGACACGTTGTGCTTTTACACTTACAGACTCGAATTCTTGTAAACTGACTTTCTAGTTTTTTAGTTCAGAATCATTTTATTGCAACAACAAATATTTTTAGCCCATAATTCCCCAATTACATTCGTCAAAGCAGGTTCACATCAAAGCTACCTGGAGATCAAGACCTTCGTCTCTCGCCAGCTGTGCCATTTCTACGAAGCGCCTCCGTTTGGACGAATTGTTGTACAACATACCAGGCGTACAATTTTTTATTTCCGCCATAATTGCGGTTGAGGCTTCTCGAGAAGACAATGACGACGCCATTTTTCCTGCCGTCGCTTATTTTATAGTGTACTCGCAAAGCGACGTTTACAACGAGGAAATCATCTTCCGCACCTTTCATAACGAAGACACTGAAACTGACGTCGTTCCAAACGTCAGACTGGATTCCTTGTCAAAAAAGTGATGATATTAGTGTTCAGAAAGTACACTGCTATTATTGTCCTAAAATGTCCTTTTTGCTTTTTTTCACAGGAATATGTTTATGCTAGACCAGACAATGACAGTGCAATCACTTATGTCAAATCCATGTCAGTTCAACATTATCTACACATGATGCTTGCTAATGACGTTGTCTGTGAGCTAATCCTTAAACATCTCACCAAGTTGAAACAAATTATATCAGACGATACTTGTGTCGTGAACGGGGAAAGACCACGCTCCTAGGAAGACTTCTTGGGCTGCCATGTTCCATTGTATCATACCGCGGTTGACAAGATATTTTCCGTCACAAGCGAGAGGCAGTTCTCAGCCAAGTATGATACGGGAAGACACACAATTAATCATCATCGATGAATGGTCTTCCATGGCTCCAGCACTCGCCAAAACTTTGTTACAAGGAGGATGGATGATGGGTGTTGTTAAGCGTAAAGACCCACGATCTTTTTACAACCGCCCGTTTTACATTATAACCAACCAGCTGCCTGACTTGTGATGATGAAAACGAGAATGTTTACAGAAGAACTCAGTTTCCCAACCCAGATCCTTTAGTCACAATTACCCAAAACCGACCGGTAGATCTATGTTCGTTTGTAATTAATATATATATAACACGTATTATTTTTTGTTTATTATTATATTATGTTTTTGTCGTCAATGCATGCCGCGAGACAACATTTGGAAGCAGACGGTTTCAAGTGTGAAGTCCATAGCTTTGGTCAAGTCCCACCACCAATGCCACAGTTTACGAATACATGTGGCTTGACTGAAGCAATTCGCACGTTCAAGAGATTCCTGGAACTGCTTAACAATGACCAATGATAATTAATGTATATTGCAAATATTATTTTGTTTATTATTATACTATCTGTGAATGTGTATCACTATTACTATTGTATTATGTATGTATTGGGTCCGTGCAAAATCCAATCTAAGCTATACAGCATTTTAAACATTTTAGGTTTAGCATTTGGTATATGTATGGTTCAAGCAGGACAATTCTTTTGCCAGCTGAATCATCTATATGGGATTACATTTTTATTCATATTTTATTATATATTTATATATTCTTGTGTATGGCGTGCATTAGTTTCGTACGATTGTTTGGCTGGAATATGGAGGACTCTGCCATCCTGTTGTGAATGTCGACGACCCCGAGCCTACCTGTGTATTTAAATTGGAGTAAATGAACATAGAAGTACATGGTAAAGTTAGTGAAAGTCTCTTCATTTTTTTAGAGCAAGAACATTTACAGAATTTGAATTGGCCAACGCCGACCGGGTAGACTAGTCCGAAGAAGAATCGTCGATCAATCTAAGGCCTGGTCGGCGACAAAGACTTGACTCGCCATCTTCCTCCGATTAGAAAGAAGCAGAGGATAAAGGATTGGCATTATCATCCTCTCCATCTTCTGAAGATTAGAAGCTAGTGTGTGCATTTTGTAGACATTCCATGTAATCATGAGGCATTGTAATTAGAGACCCTGGGAAAGTACGGGTATTTCATTTACCAGTACAGCGTAAACAACCTCACATTGTCATTGGTTGAGGAAGGTTTACGTAGAGACTAGGAAGTACGCCCCCAAGGACGTCCACTTTCATCCAATAGGCATCAAGTTTGAGAAGAACAGAGCAACTGGAGCGCGATTAAAATATTTTTTACTTTGCAGCATTTCGCATATTAATTCCCCTATAAAATAAGCGACATGAGATAGGTGCGGTCTTATTTGGTTTTGTTCTTTCAACTTCCAGAATGTCTGCGAACGTGGTGGTAAGACCTGCGAAACAGCTCAACTCAATGCGAGTTAAAAACTCGCTTCGAACTAACATACTTCGTTTGGTAAGTGAACATCTGTTTGAAAGGAGATTACACAACAATTTCAATCACTACCACGAGGATTGTTGTTGTTGTTGTTGTTAACGTCCACAGAGAAAATTTGGAAGCAGATGGCTTTAAGTTCAAGGTTTATATTAGAAAGGATCCAGAAAGTACACTGCTATTATTGTCCTTAAATGTCCTTTTTGATTTTGTCACATGATATGTTTATGCTAGACCAGAAGATGCTCACATTACTTACGTCAAATCCATGACAGGCCACCATTACTTACACATGATGCTTGCAAATGATGCTACCCGTGAGCTAATCCTTAAACATCTCACTAAGTTGGAACAAACGCTATCAGACCATGCTTGTGGCAGAAGCAGACAGCTTCAAGTGCGAGGTATATAGCTTTGATCAAGTCCCACTACTACCAATGCCACAGATTATTATATTATATTATATTATATTACATATTACATTACATTATATATTATATATTGCATATTATATATTTATATATTCTTCTGTATGGCGTGCACTTTCATTAGTTTCGTACGATTACTTGGCTGGAATGGAAGACTCTGCCATCCTGTTGTGAGTGTCGATGACCCTGAGCCTAACTGTGTATTTAAATTGGAGTAAATGAACATAAAAGTACATGGTAAAGTTAGTGAAAGTCTCTTCATTTTTTTAGAGCAAGAACATTTACGGAATACGAATTGGCCAACGCCGACCGGGCAGACGAGTCCGAAGAAGAATCGTCGATCAATCTAAGGCCTGGAAGGCGACAACGACTCGCATCATCGTCTTCCTCCGATTAGAAAGAAGCAGAGGATAAAGGATTGGCATTATCATCCTCTTCATCTGAAGATTAAGAAGCAACGCATCAATCGAAGGCCTGGTCGGCGACAACGACTCGGATCATCGTCTTCCTCCGATTAGAAAGAAGCAGAGGATAAAGGATTGGCATTATCATCTTCTTCTTCTGAAGATTAGAAGCTTGTGTGTGCAGTTTGTGGACATTTCATGTAATCAGGAGGTGTTGTAATTAGGGACCCTGGGAAAGTACGGGTATTTCATTTACCAGTACAACGTAAACAACGGGTATTTCATTTACCAGTACAACGTAAACAACCGCACATTGTCATTGGTACAGGAAGGCTGACGTAGAGACTATAAACTACGCCTCCAATAACGTCCACTTTCATCCAATAGCCATCAAGTTTGAGAAGAACAGGGCGACTGGAGCGCGATTAAAATATTTTTTACTTTGCAGCATTTTGCATGTTAATTCCCCTATAAAATAAGCGACATGAGATAGGTGCGGTCTTATTTGGTTTTGTTCTTTCAACTTCCAGAATGTCTGCGAACGTGGTGGTAAGACCTGCGAAACAGCTCAACTCAATGCGAGTTAAAAACTCGCTTCGAACTAACATACTTCGTTTGGTAACAACAATTTCAATCACCACCACGAGGATTGTTGTTGTTGTTAACGTCCACTGAGAAAATTTGGAAGCAGATGGCTTTAAGTTCAAGGTTTATATTAGAAAGGATCCAGAAAGTACACTGCTATTATTGTCCTTAAATGTCCTTTTTGATTTTTTCACATGATATGTTTATGCTAGACCAGAAGATGCTCACATTACTTACGTCAAATCCATGACAGGCCACCATTACTTACACATGATGCTTGCAAATGATGCTACCCGTGAGCTAATCCTTAAACATCTCACTAAGTTGGAACAAACGCTATCAGACCATGCTTGTGGCAGAAGCAGACAGCCTCAAGTGCGAAGTCTATAGCGTTGATCAAGTCCCACTACTACCAATGCCACAGATTATTATATTATATATTATATATTATATATTATATTTTGCATATTATATATTTATATATTCTTCTGTATGGCGTGCACTTTCATTAGTTTCGTACGATTACTTGGCTGGAATGGAGGACTCTGCCATCCTGTTGTGAGTGTCGACGACCCCGAGCCTACCTCTGTATATTTAAATTGGAGTAAATGAACATGAAAGTACATGGTAAAGTTAGTGAAAGTCTCTTCATTTTTTAGAGCGAGAACGTTCACAGCATTTGAATTGGCCAACGCCAACCGGGCAGACGAGTCCGAATAAGAATCGTCGATCAATCTAAGGCCCGGTCGGCGCCAAAGACTCGACTCTTCATCGGAAGATTAAGATTGGAAAGAAGCAGCTGAGGATAAATGTCGCATGCAAGACCTGCAAAACAGCTCAACTCAACGCGAGTTAAAAACTCGCTTCGAGCTAACGTTACTTCGTTTGGTAAGTGGACATATTTTTGAAAGGAGATTACACAACAACTTTCAATCGCTACCACAAAGATTGTTGTTATTGACGCCCACAGAAAATTTGGAAGCAGACGGCTTTAAGTTCAAGGTTTATAGCTTTGAACAAGTGCTACAACCAGTACCCCTGTTTACCAACACAAGTGAATTAACAGAAGCACTTTGCAACTCCCGTGACGTTGCGAAAACGCTGCTGCAAAAGGATGGATTGGAGCTGTTAAACATAAAGAGCGACGATATTCTTTCAACAACACTCCGTTCTACATAACAACCAATCACCTGCCTGGCAACGAAAACGACATTTTCTGTACATATATTGGAGAAGTCGCGTTTTGCGAACCCGAACCTTTTGTCATGCACCAATACCTGGGCCCGACCGGTGGATCTATGACCATTTGGAATTATGTATTATATTATCTGTGAATATACATCACTATTAGTATTATATTCACTCTATTAAAGTAAGTTTTATAGTATTTTAAACATTTTGCGTTTAGCATTTTAGCGTAGTGTGAACGTAGTCTTAACAATTATGAAATTAAAGTAAAAGATGTTGTGCATTTCTGTGTGGTATAATATTAAATTTTGTTCGTTTCTTTTTCAAGTACGTCAAGCCCTTCACGATCCAGTATGCCAACAAGAGCTGATTGACAAGGAACGAGCAAGCACATTTACAGCATTCAAATTGGCCCCCGCCGACGACGAGTCTTGGCCTTCGAATTGGCCAAGGCGACAAAAGCTACATGTATCTACATATAACTGAAGATTAGAAAATATACAAAGACTAGAGAAAATAAACCTTTCGTTAAAGCAATGCGCATCAAAGGTTACCTGAGATCAAGATGTTGATCTCGCATGTCGTTTATTTCTTTAAAACGCCTCCGTGTAGACGAATTGTTGCACAACATACGAAGCGTACCAGCCAGTACGAGTATCCAATCTAAGTAAGTTTTATAGCATTTTGCGCTGCGCTTTTACGCTTTGAGACTTCAGTTCATGTCGACTGACTTTCAGTTTGTACGGTTCGGAAGCATTCTGTTCCAGCCGCGAATGCAACGATTTAACGAACATATTCTAAACGGATGGCAACCGGAATTAGTTGACGAATATCGACGTGATTATGCATAGAATAGAATTACCGAAAGCATAAGCGGAACTTTTTCCGGGCGCTCAACACTTGGTGTCGTGATTGCTTCGCTGGGACGGTGGACTCGGGCAAATTAACAAAAATCACGTACTTTTACATATTTCGTATTTATTATAACGTTTATGAATAAAAATATTACTTGTATGTTGTAAAGGATTCGTGTAAAATCCAGGCTATAAGCAAGCTTTTTAGTTTTGTGGGAACACCGCGTATATTCATTTGGCTAAGCTTTCGACAAATATACGCGGGACTACTGTATGAAACTTCATATTCACTCAATTTCACAATTTGAAAAACATAATCTTATTTACGTTGCTATTACAGACAAAATCAAATTCATTTCTTACAAAATGTGAAGCAGGATCATTCTGTGGCCAGCAGAATGATCCTGCAACAACGCTATTCGTGACCAAGTCCCGAAACATTTTCCAAAGGAACATTTGCCTGCCGAATGCAACGATTTATCGAATATCTTGTGAACGGACGGCAACCGAAATTAATACGAATATCGACATGGTTATGCGGGACAGAATATAAGTACCGAAAGTAAGCCGCACTTTTTCCGGAGGTCGACACTTGCGTGATTGCTTCGCTGGACCCGAAGACTCTGGCAAATTGTCTTCGCGCTGGTGGTAGCGTCCACCACAACTGAATTAACATAATATCACGTATTATATATTTTCATATATTACTACATTATATCTATGAATATACATTATAACTAATATATGGTACCTTTATTCGTGTAAAATCCAATCTAAGTACGTTTTATAGCATTTATACTGTCCTATTTTACCGACACGACTCTTCACTGAGCTGTTTTTGCTTTTGTTTTTTTTAGTTAATGTTAAGTGCATTGACTTTCTGCATGACTGGCATTTCAGAATATTTCTACGACTGTGGTCAGTAAAATGCAATATGATTTGAGGAATATCTTGTGAATCATGGATATAGCAACCAAAACTCATGTGAATATCTACTAATTCAATGATCTTCAAAAACTCAAGAATTCATGAGGAATATAGCAAGAGAAAATCACAAGCGTGTCGCATCTTTATATGTTATAGAGATCTCCCTTGATTTACATAAACTTTAACTTTCTCGACTTACACAACTGTTGAAGCAATTTAAATCATTCCGCAGTGCGCGTTTTACCAGGCCTGAAGATATTCGGCTTCGCCTTGTATCTTTATATCTGATAAAACACTGGTGCTCGTGTTTTAAATAGCACCAGAAAGATGAGATGCAGTATAATAACATGCAATGATATGTTATTTATAAATAGAATGTAGACGTTAATATGTATGGGTATATTTAGAAAAGTCAAATTGAATGCAATAAGTGAGGCACATCATTTGAAATGGACTCTGAAGAGTAAAGTAAACAATTTTCTAGAGAAAACATTCGTGCCTTACGACTTAAGGCAACACTCAGCCATGATAATGCAACAGAATTCCGTGTACATAAAAGAAAACGGATATTTACACACACATAAATATAAAATCTTGCTGCTGAAATGCAGACAAACACACATGATCATACAAATATACACCACAACTTTTTTATTTATTTTTAAATTTTTATATATTTTTTTGTACTTTTTAATTTTTAAATTACATCTATGATGCTGCTAATTGCAGACAAACACACAATTTTTTTTTATATTTTAAATTTTTATATATATATTTTGTACTTTTTAATTTAGTTTTAAATTACATCTATGACGCTGCTAAATGCAGACAAACACACAACTTTTTTTTTTGTTTTTAAATTTTTATATATTTTTTTGTACTTTTTATTTTTTTAAATTACATCTATGATGCTGCTAAATGCAACGAACACACAAACACATATGCTTACTTTTTTAAAATTATATTTATACGTTCATATTATATAGACACAAACACAAGGAATCCTTGGGAAATCATGGCCTACTGGCGGAGATTATGCAAATCAACATTGTTAATAGTCCATTTCGCTTGCGCGCTTCACATATTGCGATCCAAAAATTGAAGACATTTTCGACGTGAACTATAAGGAAACAGATATGTACGAGACAGGCGAGACATCGCGATTGCATTGTGAGCGAAGGATGAGGCGAATATGGCACAAGTTCTTTGTCAGCTTAAAGACCTGAAATTGAGTTGAGTGAAAAATGCTTAATTCAAGTGCTTTATGAAACAATGTTAAAATGGAATTTCTGAATTTGAATTTCAAACATTTCTTCAGACCTAATTAGGAGCAACCGCGAAAGATGCAGACCATTTGACAGGAATCGAACTCATGGTCCTGAGATTCCAGTGCAGCGCTCTTAATCAAATAAGTTCGGTTGTTTTATATCCGGATATATAAGAATTTTTACAGCCAGTAACCGCATGTAGCGGTATTCAACGTCAACTGATAAATCTTGGCGGACCATCGACCTCATCGCAACAGCCCGTTGCGCCACAACACTTTCCGGTAACTTCCACGAGAATTGTTGTCGTCGACGCCCAATTCTTTGGGCCACAATGTTCGTATGAGAACATTGGAGAGCAGACGGTATTTATTAAAACATGGCTTAAATTTACGTATAATATTCATTGTAATATTTGCATTTATCATCAATCATTGATAAAGAAAACAAGAAAATCATGAGCGTGAAGTGGTTTGTATTTCTGATACGGAATCATGATACCAAATCGTACTGGTAATACAAATATTCACTAATAGAAAAATACACGAAAGAGCAAATAGAATCCATTTGCAACATTCGCGGCCGTGTTGTATCAGATATACTAATTCTCGCCTTCGGCTCAAAGTTCGTATATCTCATACAACACGCCCGGGAATGTTGTGAATGGTAGGAGGTAATAGAAAAATACACGAAAGAGCAAATAGAATCATTTGCAACATTCGCGGCCGTGTTGTATCAGATATACTAATTCTCGCCTTCGGCTCGAAGTTCGTATATCTCATACCACACGCTCGCGAATGTTGTAAATGGTACGAGATAATAGAAAAATACACGAAAGAGCAAATAGAATCATTTGCAACATTCGCGGCCGTGTTGTATAAGGTATACTAATTCTCGCCTTCCGCTCGAAGTTCGTAATCTGATACAACACGCTCGCGAATGTTGGAAATGGTACGATATAATAGAAAAATACACGAAAAAACAAATAGAATCCATTTGCAACATTCGCGGCCGTGTTGTATAAGGTATACTAATTCTCGCCTTCGGCTCGAAGTTCGTATATCTGATACAACACGCTCGCGAATGTTGGAAATGGTACAACAATAGAGCAAATAGAAAACTAATTTTATTTCTAGTATTTCCAAACTAGTGCGCATTTTAACGACAGATCTTTTTTTATAACTGTATACTTCAGAGCCGTTTCGATTCATCTTAACTAGATATTTACAACATCTTCCAAATTTACTACTCAAGATGAATTGAAACGGATTCGAAATATACAGTTTTTAGAATAGATGTGTCGTTAAAATGCGCACTGTTTTCGCAACAAAATTAGTTTTATATTTGCTACAAAAAGAGCGCTGCACTGGAATCGCAGGGCGACAGGTTTGATTCCTACCAAAGGATCTATGATGCATTTTTCACAATTGTTCCTGGTTGAGTCTGAACAAATGTACAAAATTCACACTCGAGAAAATTCCTTGAATATTAGTTCAATTGAGTTTGATTATTTTCATATTTTCTATATTTTTGAGCAGATCAGTGACTTCGACCTGGATGTCACCGAAGTGCCGAATGGGTATGCATTCCGAATTTCTACAAGAGACTTTTTTAAACCGAAAGGTAGACTTCTTCGAGAAGTCTACACGCGCATTTGTGCCGTATGATTGTCTTTCACCCGCCCTGTTAATTCGAGGGAGGTAATTTAACTCCAGTGATGGAGTTATTTTGAACCAAATTTACTCCAAATTTGGAGCTGAATTTGGTTCAAAATAACTCCACCGGGAGCACAGGCGGCCCAATCTCGGAGTGAAGGATCAGGTGTTGCGGGTTTTAACAGCTTTTATAAACAAATTTCATACTCAACCAAAGCATTCTTAAATTAGTAAAAGAACTACACTTTAACAATAAAATATAGATGCAAAGGCATTCTTCTAATTACTCCACGAGTTCATTTAGAGCGGTTTATGCAACATTTTCTGTGTCCTATATGTAGTAGTTATATAACCAGCAACACACGACATAGGCCACAGACAATGTTGCATAAACTGCTCTTAGTAAATGAAATCATTAAAAGAAAGCAAAGTTATTATACGTCAACTATATTTTATTGTTAAAGTGTAGCTATTTCACTAATTTAAGAATGTTTTTAGAATAGTTTTGGACAAGTATAAAATTTGTTTATAAAAGTGTTAAAAACCCGCAACACTACTTGATCATTCACTCTGAGATTGGGCCGCTTGTGCGGAGAGTTAAATTAACTCCCTGAATTAACAGGGCCGTTTCGCAGAAGGAATCAACAATTCATTCCCGGATCTGGAGGAACGAGTCAGGTCCTCAACAAGTTGTATCAGTGCATTTCTATAGTTTTTTTTTTAATATTTTATTTTACAAGTTTTGCCATTAGAATTGATCAGTATAGAATTGATCAGTATAGTACAGAGCTTTTTTCATTATTTCGTCCTTCCAACATTGGTTGCTATGGATACCAACGCTGGTATCCATAGCAACGATCGTTGGAAGGACGAAAAAATGAAAAAAGCTGCAAAAATTACGTTCAGTATTTTTTTGTAAGGAGCTTCGTAGGATTTCGTAACAAAAAACATGTTTGTACAGTGTATAGTTGTTTCAAAAGTCCTGGAATCATATTTTAGGGTTAGAGGGTTATAGGGTTTTATAGAGGGTTTTTATATGCCGAACTCAAGTTTTCCGAACCCGGAGCCTTCCGTCACCTGGGGCCGACCGGTGGATCTTCGACCATGCCATGGACTGTATTGCTTGGATGGCTAATGTGATCAATATAAACGTCCAGTTAATTGAGCAAGAAGAACGATGGTACGAGGACACGTCAGGTCATAATTTTGATGACCAAATAATTCCATCGATTGTGAAAGTTTGCGACCGAAATACGAACATTGACTTTAATAGTCATGAACGATGGGGTAAATACCCCCGGGCATGCAAACATTCAAGGAACTTTATATAACATCAAGTTAGAAAATGCGCAAGTTAACAGAATGAAGAAACTGGACAGTCTGGCGATATCAGTAAATTGTCGCCCAGGATAAAATTGCCATAACGAGTATTTTAAACATTTTCAGGGTTATGTAAACGATGCTATACAGCACCGTATAGAATGCTTTAAGGCATCATTGACATAACCCTGAAAATGTTTAAATAGTAAAATATTGTCGCTACCCGAAACTGGCATAGAACGAGATTTATGTGATGTTTTTTCCAAAATAAGTATTCTTTTGTTTAATTAACAACTCAACTCAACTTTAATTCTTTTCGGATTGACAATAACTACAGATCAGATTGCTGCCGAGCTAGGACAAAATAGAATATAGAAATCAAAACAAAAAGTCTATGCCAGGTTCAGGTAGCGACGATAATGGGAAAGCCGTGAATTGATAGAGATTCAACTGTTCGTGAAAAAACTTTCAGACAGTTGAATTTCTATCAATTTGCGGCTTTCCTATTATCAAAGAAGACGAATTGTTGCACAACATACCAGGCGTACGATTTTTTATTTCCACCATAACCGCGAGGAGACGAATTCTCCGAGACATTTGTGACGACTCCGCTTTTTTGAAGTTATATTTTGAGGAATTCATTAAAAAATCAAGTTCATTTATCGTAAGTTTCTCGAAAAATAAGACATTTAAAACGCCCGTAGTCAGTGCTTTATCAGATAGAGAACCTTCGAGCGAAGCTCTCGTGTTTCATATCCGATAAAGGACGGACTACGAGCGTTTTAAATAGTATAGTATATAAAAGCAGTCCAATAGCTAGGCATGTTAAATATTTCACTTAATATTCAGATTGTTAAATATGGCGAAAATATAAACAATGTTAGGATAATGTATTTGTGGAGTAATGGTTGCGTGATATGGTGACGTCACTCTCGAACCGTAACTCATTAGTATGCAGTGAGTGACGTCATCCATAGCACGCAACCAGAAGACCACAAATGCATTGTTATCGAAACATTTCTTTAGTATTTCATCAATTTTAGTCAAATATTTAACAACCCTAGCTATTGGGCTATCTAAGAATAAAGTAGAAGACTCGGTGTAAATTTCAAGCTAGGATTGAATCAACTCCGAAAGTACCATCCTGGCACCAATAATAATAATTATAACGGGTGACAGAAATGATACTTTCGGAGTGGATTCCATTCCTTGAAATTTACAGCAAAAGTATCGAGACGACATTAAATTAAAGACATATCCAAAACAGCCAGATTCTTCGTTCTATTATTAAATTGCACATTTCAAACTTAATGTTATTAAAAGTTTCTTGAAAGTTCACATGGCGCTGTTAGTTTCAAGGAGTTAATTTAACCAGCATATTAGAGAGGTTTAGCAACGACGACGCGAGGTCAAAGACGACGTGAAAATGACGTACAAATGGCGTGATATGCCCATCTATGGATGTGCCCACGCCATTTTCACGTCAGCGTCTTTGACGTCGCGTCGTCTTTGCTAAACCTCTCTATCGCCAAGTTATGTTGAACCAAATTTTACTCCACGTGGAGTTTAATTTGTTTCAAAATAACCATCTATATAGTGGGTTAAATCAACTCTTTGAAATTAACAGATATTTATATATTTATATTCATTTTGTATCTTGAAGTCACTTGTATCAGACATTTTTTCACCGAACTCAATTTTGGGTCTTAAAGCTGGCCGAGAACTCGCGCCCTTCGTCTCACTCTCCTCACACAATGGAACCACTATATCTCGCGCAATGCCTCGCAACACATTATGTTTCTATTTAGTTCACGCGTTGGAAATTGCCGTTTGGTATACGACGTTATATACTGCATATACCATAGCCCGGGGCGGATTGTATATATAAATGTAGATAACGGTCATGCAATCGACCAGGTTTTGTGTGAGCTAAATTTTGTCCTAAGTCAACATTTGTTGCTCCATATTGCTCGACATGCACGATGTTATATGTTCAATATCGCGGGCTTGCATATATATCATATATATATATATATATATATATATATATGTCTTATTAATATTACATTGTATGTATATATGTATTAGTCAGTAGACATAACAAACTAGACATTTCCGATACTATTATCGATACTATTGCATTTGTGCAGCGAATCGTTGGGTCCAGCGAAGCGGAATTATCATCCATATGTATATATGATTAATGATGTGAGTTTTATTATATGTCGTATTATTTTTTAAATGCAGAATTGTTATTCGGAACTGTCGCATCACATATATTTATCGAAAGCTTTGCCAAATAAATATATGTGGTGCCTGTTTTGTATTATATTACCAAATTATATGCTATTATTACATCATTATACATACTGTTATATTATCGAAAGCTTTGCCAAATAAATATACCTTCATGTAGCTAACTCGTGGACTACAAAACAAAGCTTTTGGAAACTATTGCCAGCAAAATGCAGCAATTTAATTAATGAATTGCATTCGTGTGGTATCTGAAGAATTTTGGTGACTATATTATATACGAAATTATTATAGAGTATTGATTACATTGTTATCTACTTCAATTGATGCAGGCTGAGCTAGTGCATGGACTAGGATCTATACGATTGTGTAATGTTTTATATAAAGTGCAAAATATGATTATATAGTGCAGAATATGAATATTTACTATACTTTAAATGATATCATGTACGACAGATGGTAGTTTGCAGACACAAATACGATGCAGCGATTGTAACTGCCTGACGAATGGCTTCGAGTCAAGGCGCCAAATTTTCGCTTGTATTTTTCAGGTAGCTGTATACACCTCTCGCATTAATCCGCAGTTAACTAGTTTTATCATCATGCATCAACACGGAATTGTCCGTCGAATCATAATTAATAATTCATGAAAACAAATCAATGTATAATGTTGTATCGCATCCTAATCCGTTTGTACAAATCTCTCTTGATTTTCACGAACGTTTTCTTAAAATTTCTCAGTTAAAGTCATTCATAAACTATTTTTTAAAACAGTTGAAATCCTTGCGTTTCACAACCGATGCAACATGCTAGCTTTTTAACTAGCTGAAACTAGTTTTTCGTATCTCTGAGGATGGTTCTGAAATGCTAGCACAATGTTTTAAGGTTTTGATGAACGGGCATTTCAAGCAAAATCTCTGCACACATTTTGGCGTATATAGGCTGGAAAATGAAATGATACGCTAAAAAGTAAAAAGTGCAAGCAACCGAATTTCAAAATAGAGCACTGTATCCGAAGGTGACCACGTACTAGGCGTTTATGGTTTCATATTGAAGAGGAAACTAGCACACACATTTATACAACACACATAACTAGACAGAATTGAAAAAGAATAATAAAAGACTTGCCCAAGAGAACATTGATATCTGCCTTCATCAATATGCTGCTTGCTTTACTACCAGAGGAAATGTTCCATAATCGAACTTCCCCATGAACGACTTCGCTCGAAACGTGGAAACTCTCCTTGGCGTTGTAAGTCTTCCATACTTCAATCATCGTGGTCTCTTCCTCCGAGGTCTAACTGGCGAGTTAGTCTGAAACAACGTGGTAACAAGAAAATAAAATTAAAATGACGCCACAACTTTTACTTGTAATTATTAATAATTATATTCTCTTCAGAATGCACAAAATTAGAATAAAAAAGGATTAATAGAATACAGCAGTTAAATTCTAAGGCCCGGTTTAGATGACGAAATTTTCATGCGCCAAACCAAATTAACTGAACAAGTTAACTGTACTGCAAAATACATTGTATACACTATATCACAAATTTCACTGCTAAATTGCTCATATCATAATCGGGAAAAAAAACTCAGAAAAATAGATCAATATGAAAAATAGATCAACATGAACAGTACCATGGAAATATTTACCTGACGTGTCCTCGTACCATCGTTCTTCTTGGTCAATTAACTGGACGTTTTCATTTATCACATTAGCCATCCAAGCAATACAGTCCATGGCATGGTCGAAGATCCACCGGTCGGCGCCAGGTGTTGGTGACGGAAGGCTCCGGGTTCGGAAAACTTGAGTTTTACGATAAACGTTATCGTCATCATCGCCGGCTAGCTGATTGGTGGCGATGTAAAATGGGATGTTGTGGGAAGAAGGTCGTTGCAACACATTTTTCGCGAGGTCCATAGAAGAATAATCGTCGATGATTACCAAATGTGTATCTTCTTGTACCATACCGGCCAATAAGTTGCTGGTGACATGAATGCACTTATCAGCCGGCATGATACGCTGGAACATGGCAGCCCACGATGTTTTTCCGGAGTTCTCAGGTCCTGCCAAAACCAGCTTTCGGATTTCCCGTGGCATCCGGCCTACCACGAGGCACTGGTACAACTTGTTGAGGACCTTGACTCGTTCCTCCAGATCGGGGAATGAATTGTTGATTCCTTCTGCGAAACGGCCAGGATCTGGCGGTGAAAGACAATCATACGGCACAAATGCGCGTGAAGACCTCCCGCGAAAGTCTTCCTTTCGATAACGAAAGAATGCTCTTGTAGAAATTCGGAATGCATACCCATTCGACACTTCGATGACATCCAGGTCGAAGTCACTGATCTGCTCAACCACGACACAAGCATCGTCTGAAAGGACTCGTTGCAACTTGGCGAGATGTTTCAAGATTAAGTTACGAACAGCATCATTTGCAAGCATCATGTCCAAGTATTCGTGCACTGTCATGGATTTGACGAAGGTGATCCCCGAATTGTCAGGTCTGGCGTAAACATATCCCTGGGAAAAAAAAGCAAAAAACACATTTTTAAAACAAAGTTTCCAGATATGATGTCATTAGGTAAAGATATATTACATTTCTTTTAAGAATGCCTCAAATAATACTTTTCGTTTGTAGAAACAACACTTAAATTTATTACTGCAATTAACTTCCGATCCGCAAGACCAGATCTACATCAGTACTATACGCGACTCGCTATTTATTTATTTTATTTATATATATATATATATATATTTTATTAAGAGACTCAATAATTCATGAAGAAAACACAAAGAAAAATCATAAGCGTGTCGTATCTGTATATGTGATACAGATTCATGTTGATTTACATAAACTTTAACTTTGATTTTCTCGGCTTAAGGCCTGATTCCACGGGCGCTTTTTCTCGGCGAAATTCGAAATGTTTCTTTTGAATTGCGACCACTCGAATAAATTATTTCTACTTGATTGACCACAATTCAAAAGAAACAGGCGAAATATTTCGCATTTCGCCGAGAAAAAGCGCCCGTGGAATCAGGCCTTAAGACAACGTTTATTTTTAAAATGACTTCGCCAATGAACTCATAAGATGAGTCGTTTTTCAAGTCATTTACAACATTCGCGTCCGTGTTGTATCAGATATACGAACTCTCGCCTTCGGCTCGAGTTTGTATATCCGATACAACAGGGCCGCTCGTGTTGTAAATAGTACTTATTTTATAAAACAATTACTTTATGGTTTCCGTGTTTGGATGGCCTGATCCAAACACTTGGAAATGTTGCTCGAGTTAAGAAAAGCGCGCAAAATCACTCGCCTTCGGCTCGTGTTCGCGTGCTTTTCTTAACTCTCGCAACATTCCCGCGTGTTTGGATCAGGCCATCCAAGCACGGAAACCATAAAGTAATTGTATAACAATACGTTATAGCTAATATATGAAAGGGTTCACTTTCTTTTTATACACACTGTACATGGAGTCCCAAAAAAACCAAAACTATTGAAATAACATATTGTTAGAATGCCCTAGCACTTTGCTGGACTCACAAAAGCTGGACGTAAGTAAATTTTATGCACAAAGAAACCGTTTAATTAAAGGCCTTATGCAACGAATTTTTCGATGGTGAGGTTTTTACACATTATTAAAATTTCATCTTTTCTGATCATTTTGATACCAATCTCGATGCGAAATTCAAACTAAAAGTTGGTGAATTTTGTGTTTAAAGATGGGTCCCTCTTGCGAAAAACTGGTTCGCGCTGTGACGTCACAGTAATGAGTCGTGCTGTGTGTAAACAAATGATTAACATGTTTTACATAAGGTCCGTCGAAAACAACTCATTACTGTGACGTCACACCACTGATCACCAAAGGTCTTTTTTTTTTCGCAAAGAAAGTGGCAAAATTTGCGACTTTGAAGGCTTATAAAAATAAAGCTACTTGGAGTTTCGGAAAACGGTTTGCATCTTTCGAACCAATGCAAAGAACTCTATAAACGTAATGCAAAAATCTCACCATCGAAAAATTCGTTGCATAAGGCCTTTAAGATCAAGACATAAGCAAAAAAATCGTGCGCTTTACAAAGATATTTTAATTTGTTAAGAGGAGATTTTTTGTATGTTACGTAACACGCGCTCAAAACTAATGCGTATAATATCACTTGGAGGTTATGACTAAATTCAAAATTTTTATTTTTCGATACGTTTCTCACTCGGCAAACAAACTTAAAAAGTATGTTTAGTGCTTTATCTGTAAAATAATGCTAAAATGAAGAGATTTTAGACGATACGCCAAAGAGAAAATGATGTCTGAAGTTCATTAAGTTTTGCTTATATGGCTGTAAATATGGCGTCAATTTTAAAGCATCATTGATAATTGTATTTTAATTGACAATTTTTAACTATTATTTTATGTTTCTCAACCGGCAGATGCATTTAGAAAGGTTACTAACTCTATAAGCTATAGAGAATAAAGCTAAAACAAAGTAATTTTGAGAAGAAAGCCAAAAAGATTTTAGGTTTTGAACACTTTTCATTGCAAATACGTGACATTGCCTCTTAATAAGAAATGAAAAAAAAAAATGCCTCTTAATAAGAAATTCTGGGGGACATCCTGTACGTCAGTCAACGTTCATTCATAAATCTGGTCGTTCACTGTCACGTGCTTGTTGTATTTTTGCCAAATCCACCAATAGCAATGTCTTAGGAAAGTCACCTATCCGTGACTCGAACAATAGGGTAAATTGGAAATTGCTATTGGTAGATTTGGCAAAAATACAATACACACGTGACGGTGAAGGACCAGATGTATGAATTAATAATATATATGAAAACATTTCTCAATTAAAAGCAATACAATTTTTCGAAATACAGTCAAACAATAAAATAAGGTGGCAAAAATGAAATACAGTGCAAATTTCATTGACTATAAAGATATACAACCTTTTTATAGCAGAAAATAAAACAAAAAACACAAACATTTAAACAAGTGAGAAAAATGGCTGCCATTTTTAGTAGATTTTTATATATTAAAATTATTTCTATTAAGATTATCTATTTCGCATGTGACTGTATAATTTTTTCATGTATATTATTAATACCGAATGGCGAATAGTGAAAAACTCACTCGGGCACATTTTTTCCCAAATTGCACTGGAAACCATACTATCAGACTACACAAACGTTAACCAACATAGATAACGAGTTACATTGTTATCCTAAACAGTTTCAGAGCCATCGTTCTTTCGATAGGCCATAGCTAACAGCGCGAGTTAACACAAAAATAGATCACTTATATATGCTTGGCAGAAGCAAGAATGAGAGTCGGGAGAGAGTCGCTTGTGACTGTCAACTCTACTTCTCATTTCAGCCGGGCTTATAAAGTATATCTAAACTTATAAATACAACAGTAAATGGAAAAAGGTACACTATACACAGGATGTATAAAAACCGCAATTCAGGTAAAACGTTTTGTAAAGAAATCAATGGCGCATAAAATCAGTCATGCATTTAATTCATGTCGTGAACAGCTATAATACGGGAAAAAGTTTTAGCTTTTTACAGGTATAAATCAATATAAATCGGCCGTTGAGAGAAATATCGCGACTCGAACTGTCTGGTATTTTGATAATTCATACACCACCTTCAAAAACAAAGCCTGGAAAATTTACTTTTCAAAATAATTTTAGTGGTAAAAGACACTCTATAGCACACCCCAAACTGCGGAGTTTTTTTTTATACACACTGAGCGAGAGCACCTACACTAGAAAGTATATAAAATGATGTTTTACCTTGTATAGACCATTATCAAGCAGCTTCATGAATTTGGTGAATATGCGTGTTGCTTCTAGAAAGTCATGGCCAAGCACTGGTACTGCTGGTTGGATTATGCCAAAGCTGAAAACTTCGCATTGGAAACCGTACGCCGCTAGGTTTTGCCTCGCGGCGTGGATTGCCGGGCCCAACTGGGCGTCGACGACAACAATTCTCGTGGAAGTTACCGGAAAATGTTGTGGCGCAACGGGCTGTTGCGATGAGGTCGATGGTCCGCCAAGATTTATCAGTTGACGTTGAATACCGCTGCGGTTACTGGCTGCGACCATAGCGCTGACATAGTCGTTGCTATGGTCTTTAACGACATTAAAAAGAAGGCGTTCCAGAATTTCATCCTCCTCACACCTTCGTACATGAATGGGGACGACGTCTGCTTGCCTGTCCTCATTCTGGATAGCGTTTAAAAGAATATCGTCGTTGCAAAGGTCGCTGTGCGAATATACGATGAAATAAGCGACGGCAGGCAAAATGGAGTCGTCATCGTCTCCTCGAGAGGCTTCGAGCGCGGTTATGGCGGAAATAAAAAATCGTACGCCTGGTATGTTGTGCAACAATTCGTCGAATTTTATTCTATTTGAAGATATAGAATCGCGTGCGAGATCAAGGGCTCGATCTCGCACGCGCCAAACAGCTCGGCAGGAAAATGATCTGTAGTTATTGTCAATCTGAAACGGAATTCAAATAAAGTTGTTAACAGAATTATTAATACATGTTTAAGATAAACAGCACATCCTTTTACAGCTTTAGAAACGGAGGAATGTTGTTTCGCTCAGCTTCTGAAAGCTGTACATTCCAGGCTTAACAGCTTCGCTTCAACTATTAAACTCCACGTGCAGACAAGAGCTTCGCTCGCTCGAAAAGTCGGAATTCTGCGGCCGTTTTGATATCCCTACTATTTCGATATTGAACGGAACGATGTTTCTCAGTCGCTACAAAAAGCTATTCGTAAAACGTAGCCTAAGTAATGAAGGCCTTCGCTCGAACTCGTTGTATGATTTCTCACAATCCGTAGTTAACACATCAATAATTTCGTTTCAAAAAGGCGTTCACTTACCAAGCTAAGAATGTGAGCTCGCAGCGAGTTTTTAACTCGCGTTGAGTTGAGTTGTTTCGATGGACGTTCCGACATTGTGTTTCTTTGAGAGTTTCTTCCAAAGAATCGAGAACCAAATAAGACTTGACTATTCTCGTGGCGCTGTTTTTATAGGCCAACTTAATTGAGTATGCAAAAATGCTGCAAAGTAAAAAATATTTTAATTGCACTCTGGTTTCTCTGTTCCATCAATGAACTATGTAACTTGTTCACTGAAAAGGAACGGCTTTCCACCCATATACTGTAGAGGATGTATCAAGCATATTAAAATTTGAATGCCTTTTCAATTGCAATATACAGGGTGTCCCAAAAAAACCGAAAACTATTGAAATTACTTATTGTTAAATTTGAATGCCCTACCAAACAGCTGGACGTAATGATGCGTAAAATATAGACAAGTTGCAGCCTAGTCCCAGTCGTTCTGAAGCAAGCGCGAGAAAAAAGTGGATGTAGTACGAGACTGGGACCTAGGTGTGACGCCACCGCTCAAGGTGCTTCAGAACGCCTAGCAGATTTCAGTACTTTTAATATGGCGGAAAATTTATATATACATGTAACCTTTTAATTATAAATACGACAATGTTCGTTCATCATGTACATGTTCGATGTCTACATAACCAGATCAAACTGTATTAAAAATGTGCTCAACTAAAAAAAATTATATACAAATTTACGATACCAAGTTTGAGCAATCGTTGATGTTATTTATGTACTCGCAAGTTGTGATCAACACTAGACCATACTGGTATACACAACTACGCTTTCTACTTGACAGGTTTAAATTGCTGAGGAGATTGGAAATATTTGCCTGACATGACGGTGTTGTCAAAACATTCTTAGTCGGAGACTCGGGATAATGTTCAAGCTTTTAGATAGCATTTAATATGGCTATATATTTTAGTAAACACGAGTCATATTTAGCCAGTTATTCCATTCTGACCGTATGGCAGCGAAACGTAGCCTACTTCATTGTTCCGACATCATTAGAGCAAAACTAATGACTTAATTATTAATGCAAAGGAAATTTCCATAACATTTTCGATTTACAAATGAGGTATGCTTGGTAACCAGGCCAGGGACCACTTTTTTGAAATCAGGGACCATTTTACCGAAATCTGCTAGGCTCTCTCGCTGAAGCGTTCCGCACAGCACACCCAGGCATAAAACTTTTAAGACTTATTTAAATATATCAAAGCAGCGAATAGAGAGAGCCTGGGACTAGGCTGGACAAGTTGCATGTATTAGAATTTAGTTAGGAATATCTCCTGGTAAAGTGCGCGATTTTCTGCTCCTGGGAATTAAAAACAGCTTCTTAAACAGTTTCTTTACGCATAAAATTTACTTATGTCAATCATTTCTGCACTTGTGGGAACCAACAGAGCGCTAAGGCATTCAAGTCCTAACAATTAAATTGTTATTGGTGATTTCAATAGTTTTCGGGTTTTTTGGGACACCCTGTATAATGGACCGCAGTGCGTGAAATATTGATGGGGTGCATATATTAGACAAAGGAGACCTCTGGAAATTGAACAAAATATTTAAACGAAATATTGTCTGCTCCTGGGAACAATCTGCCATGCATGCATACTGTACGTAGATCGCATGTTACGCACTCGTGGGCTTAGCAAAATGCTCCAGGATTCAAATTATAACAATGGTTGATTTCTAATGTCTCCTTTTTCTAATATATGCAACCATCACAATATTTCTCGCACTACGGTTCAGCATATGTGCCATTGAAAAGGCATTCAAATTTTAACAATATGCTTGATTTCTAAAGGTCTTCTCTTTTTATACACCCTGTATAACTTTATATGATAAGTGCCAATGGGGAAAATCCGCATAAGTTCACATGATAATTCCGAAGCCCTCGGAAAGACTCGTAACTGCCTAAAAAGACGCACAATGCTCTTACATAATGAGATACAAGCACTCGCCAGATTCGTACATACGTAAATATCTCACAACTTGTCAACAAGATGTGTTCACAACAGGCTTGTAGAAAGCTTGTCATCAAAGTTGTTTTGTTGACAAATTGTTGAATTGCAGGACGATAACAAGTTGTTGGAACAACTTGTAACAAGTCTGTTGAGCTCAACAACCTTGTAGCAAGTTGTCAACAAGCTGGGAACAAGCAGTGCGAACACATCCTGTTGACAAGTTGTTGGAACAGCATTGCTACAAGTCTGCTGCAGCTTTGTTACAACTTGTGCGTTTTTACGTGTATATACATAGCACTCGCACAGATTGTTATAAATTCGGCCGGAAAGTTTAAGAAGCGAGACGAATTTCGCATTGTATTTTTCCGTCACGCAGTTAAGTTGCATTTCTAGTGTATTTCTCATGAATGTTTACATAAACAGTGGCGCCGGCAAGGGGGGGCGAGGGGGGGCAGCCGCCCCCCCAATATTCTCCAGAGTGGGTTTTTGGATTTGTCCAAATCCGATGTCGTAGGGGGGGGGGGGTGCGGTGTGTAAATATTTGGTTGTCAAGTGTACGGTTGCGTGCAATGGCTAATGCGTAACTTGCGGTATCTACTAAACTTAATTAAAGGCTCTGACTAGTTGCCTTTTACTTATGCTCAACACAATTAAAATATCACGAGCGAGTGTCATAAGAAGTGTAAAACTTATTCGCCAATGACGTATGAAATATTACGTCGACCATGTGCTTACAGTGCTTGACACGTCAATCAGCATATTGACCTCCATTGAATTTCGTACCCGCACTTAAGATTCACTCACGCTATTTATTAACGCAAGTATACGTTATCATTTCGTCGAATTCGATGTGCAAGATCGTATGCCGAGAAAATACTCGAGATACTAAATACTAATATTTATATTTAATATAATATATATTTGAAAACTTCAAATCAACCATAAAAAATTATCAAAGAATAGATGCTACGAAGCGAAGACTGAATATAATAAGGGGTTTTAAGTATGCTTAATTTATAAGATGGAACTTGTACTAAATATGTATTATAACATTAAATTCTTCATTTCATTCTTGGTTTTATTAAAAATACATTTGATTCATATATTGTATGGAAATCATTTATGTTCCGATCTACTAAAAAAGTGATTTATTAAAACCTTTATGTTTCTCTTAAAGTGCTTCCAAAACGCAGGAAATGCGGTTTTAGACACCCCAAATTCAAAATTTTCTCGGGGGGGCATACCCCCGAACCTCCCTAGTAGGCTCGTGCCTTCGGCACTCGGATTTGCCCCTCCAAAAATAGATCCTGACGGCGCTACTGTTAAATGTTCTGGAAACAGAACAAAACCAAGTTTGGTTTGAAACACTGGCGTTTTAGTGTGTTTGGTAAAAATACGATGTCGATAAGGTTAAAATGTGTTTTGTTGATTTGTCAAAATATTTGTTTATTTATATGCTTGTTTGTTTGCATGTAGAGTTTAGCGGTTTAGAATCGATCGATCAGACATCAATATGATATTTGCTGCCTATATAAACTATTATTTGACTGAACTGAGTCATGAATTAAGGATTAAAAGTCCCCTAGGCTATACGCTTTCCTTACTATTTACATAATTAAATTACATATGAATTACATAATTATAATTGGCTCGTGCATAAACTATTTATTTTGCTTTTTCTCGGTATAAAATAATTGCTAAGTGTTCCCAGCTGTTTACTACTATTTCATTGCTTCCGAAAAGCTTGCAGACTAGAGCAAATGGTCTTAATAATAACCAAAATTTATAAAAAAAACTTCACATCATAAAAAGCAAAAGAGTAAAAAATAAGTTCAGAGGTCCAGTAAGGATATCTCTTATTGATCCAGTGTTACTACAGAAAGAAACCTAAACTAAACTAACTTTATTTATACTGGATAGTTCTATCAGTTCTAAACTATTCTACCTAGAGGTTCGGTAAGGATCATCTCTTGTTGATCCAGTGTTACTGCAGAAAGAAACCTAAACTAAACTAACTTTATTTATACTGGTGAGCTCTATCAGTTCTAAACTGTTCTTCCTAGAGGTCCAGTAAAGATCATCTCTTATTGATCCAGTGTTACTACAGGAGGAAACCTAAACTAAACTAACTTTATTTAAACTGGATAGCTCTATCAGTTCTAAACTGTTCTTCCTAGAGGTCCAGTAAGGATCATCTCTTATTGATCCAGTGTTACTACAGGAGGAAACCTAAACTAAACTAACTTTATTTATACTGGATAGCTCTATCAGTTCTAAACTGTTCTTCCTAGAGGTTCAGAACTCCTTTTTCAAATGTCAGAACTCGCTTTTCAAACAACGTAACTCCTTTTTCAAATAGCAGAACTCCCTTTTCAAATAGCAGATCTCCCTTTTCAAATAGCAGAACTCCTTTTTCAAATAGCAGAACTGCCTTCTCAAATAGCAGAACACCCTTTCCAAATGGCAGAACTCCCTTTTCAAATAGCAGAATTCCATTTTCAAATAGCAGAACTCCCTTTTCAAATAGCAGAACTCCCTTTTCAAATAGCAGAACTCCTTTTTCAAATAGCAGAACTGCCTTCTCAAATAGCAGAACACCCTTTCCAAATGGCAGAACTCCCTTTTCAAATAGCAGAATTCCATTTTCAAATAGCAGAACTCCCTTTTCAAATGGCAGAACTCCCTTTTCAAATAGCAGAACTCCTTTTTCAAATAGCAGAACTCCCTTTTCAAATAGCACAACTCCTTTTTCAAATAGCAGAACTCCCTTTTCAAATAGCAGAACTCCCTTTTCAAATAGCAGAACTCCTTTTCAAATAAATAGCAAAACTCCCTTTTCAAATAGATAGCAAAACTCCCTTTTCAAATAGCAGATCTCCCTATTCAAATAGCAGAACTCCCTTTTCAAATAGCAAAAATCCCTTTCGAAATAGAAGAACTACCATTTCAAATAGCAGAACTCTCTTTTCAAAAAGCAGAACTCCCTTTTCAAATAGCAGGACTCCCTTTTCAAATAGCAAAACTCCCTTTTCAAATTGCAAAACTTGGTTATCGACTCGACAATTATATTTTGATTATTAATTAAAATGAAGATTAGTTTGTTCTTTTACCGAAAGTGACCTATCAAGGTAATAATTTGTCTGGACAACTCAGCATTCTAGCTGGACATTGTCCATTGACCGGCTGTTATTTCTTACAAATTATAAAACTTACAGAGATTATTTTGTTTGAGCCAACACCAAAAGGAAAAACTGAAAACTGTTGACGATATTCAGGCTGTTGTTGTTCACAAAGTAATGAATACAGCTGCTGTGCGCTGTCTGAATTGGATGTAAAACGACATTCCTTTCTTGTCTCTTGTTTACAATCCACAACAATACCCTGGAACAAATTAAACAGTTTCAGAAATTTTTAAAAATGAAAACAAAGATATATCGATAATGGATTCATGGGCAACTTGACGGCATCATGACAGATTAAATGGAAATCAAATTTAACTGAGGCCAAGCAACTGTACTTGTTTTCTAAACACCAGAAAGCTGCACAGAGTTTTCGAAGGTTTACTTGTTTTTGTGAAATCCGTCTCAATATGTATAGCTTTCTGGCGTTGTCAGTACATATATATATATATTGGTATAGACCATTCGTTATTTCCTAAACACCCTTGATCTACTCAATATTTCTGACAGAACAAACCAAGAATGACTCCAAGATGAGTGAATATACGATGTAAAGGTCGTAGCTTCTCATCACTCGCACTTCCTGAGGCGGTAGAAACATGCAACTCAATTGCAACAAAACGACTTGAACCATTCTTGTCAGTTTTCTTTAACAAATTATCAAAAAATATAAGATAAAACTATTTTTCAACGACAATTTTACAATCCCTCACACTTTTACACACGGTAAAATCATTTTCATTTACCTTGAACCAAGCATATTTAATGGTTTCATATTCATCCTCTGGAAAGAAAGGAACAGTATCACTCTCTTGATTGTATAAATAAACTCTAAATAAAATATTTTACATGTGATTAATATTTTGGATATATGTCATGACCTTCGACATCTCATTCGATATAACTAATTGTTAAAGATTTTTGTAGCTTTTCTAAGTTTTATACATATATTAAGATCTAACCAGAAACAGCTGCGAAAAATGCAACTACAGACCTTCTGGTAGGAGTCAAATCTATGGCGGTCTTACAAAGAAACACAGGCTCAATTAGCATTAGATTTGCCTGTACTCCATGATCAGATAGGAGTCATAAGGTGGCTGCCAGAGGCGCCCTTAGAAAACCTTTGACTCAATCAGGTTGAGTTGTGGCATACGTAATTCAACTTAGGTCTCCTCCACTTACTCACAAGCATACATTACAGGGATTGAAAATAAATTTAATCTATGCAGCATGTTCAAAAGCGGACCGGCTTTGCCATTTCTCCATACTAAAACAATCACAATGTCAATGAAATATGCATCAATTACCTTGTAGACTTCAGATTTGCAAGTGACAAGGGTTTTAGTAATTTCGCCTTAGCACCACTTGGTTTCTGGACATTTGCTAAAAACAATTATCAGTAAAACAACGTGTTAGATTTGAATTACATATCATTGTCGCATCTCAAACTCATTATAATACATTACTCGTTACCTTTTATAATGCCCGATGAGAACTGTTTGGCCGTATATTTTCCAACCAACAGATATTCATCACTGTCGAGTAATTTCTGTTGTTGCGCACAGTCATCAATGAATGACAATGATACAATAGGAATGCCAAGTTTCACTGCTGTTCTGCCCTTGTATGTTTCAGTAATCTCTTTGTTTTCTGACACAAAGAACTTGGTCTAAATAAACAAATATGGTATTAGGGAAGTGTCTGTATTAGAGAGGTGTCTGTGCTAGAGAGGTGTCTGTATTAGAGAGGTGTCTGTATTAGAGAGGTGTCTGTATTAGAGAGATGTCTGTATTAGAGAGATGTCTGTATTAGAGAGATGTCTGTATTAGAGAGGTGTCTGTATTAGAGAGATGTCTGTATTAGAGAGATGTCTGTA